TTATATATTTTTAAGAATTTAATTTTGGATTTAAGGATTTATTTAGGATCCGTTTTATTATTTAAGTAGGCATTTAGATTTTTAAGTGTATGGTAGCTATAGTTAGGACCTCTAACGTAGATTATTTTGATAGGTAACTGAATGCCGTCGATTAAAAATAAAATACACAATGCCATTTTTAAATAAAACTAATTTTACGGATTTTATCGCGTATATTAATCTATTTTTATATTCCCGACGTTTCGGGTGCTGGAAAGCACCCGTGGTCACGGGGGACTGAGGTGTTTGACGTCCTGCTGTCATAGTTAGCCCGGCTACCTTCAGTTTTTTAATATTAATTTTTGGTCCGATTTACGCAGAATGAGCTTACAGTATCTTGAAGTCTAGCAGTGGTTTACTTGGGTTTGGATTTGATTTTATTAATTATGGGATCCCAAGCAGATGGTAGCACCCATCCATCTTCTCGGCGGGACCCGAAGCTTGTTGTCTTGCAGTACTTGCTCGACGTTCTGAAGCTCGGCGGCCAGATGTTTTCTGTCACAGATCCCTCGTGCTCTCTGAAACAAGGATTTTCCCACGGTAGCTAACTGTGAAGGATGATGGTGAGATTCACCATTTAGATATCGGTTGGTATGGGTATTTTTTCTGTACACAGTATGACTAATAGTGTTATCAGGATTTCGGATGACTAAAACATCTAGGAAAGCTAAAGTATTGTTTGCCTCTAACTCCATTGTGAATTGTATTTTAGGGTTTATGGAATTAAGGTGGTTTAAAAATGCAGTTACTTAGTCAGATGGTAAAATTGTGAAAGTATCGTCTACGTACCGCTTGTAGAATCTTGGATTTACAGGAGCAGTAAGAAGGGCTTTCTCCTCAAAGTCCTCCATGAATATGTCGGCGACTACGGGAGATACAGGTGAGCCCATTGCCACTCCGTCTACTTGCATGTAGAACTCTTCTTTCCACAATAAATAGCCAGATGTGAGGCAGTGTTTGAGTAATACTGCATATTCTGTAGGCATGTTGTTATCTTCTAGCTTTCTAGTAACAATTGAGATGCAGTCTTCAATATAGTATACCATAGTTTCATTGTCAGCGAGATGTAGGTCTTTAATCTCACTAACAAAATAGTATGAATCCTTTGTGTGTGCTCTGGTATGTCCTCTTAGTGGTGACAGTATTTTAGCCAAGTGTTGAGCCAACTTATAAGTTGGTGAATCGATCTGGCTTACTATAGGACGTAGTGGAGCGTTTGGTTTGTGTATTTTCGGTAACCCATACAACCGCGGTGGTTTGGCACATGATGGTATTGTCGAATTCACGTCGAGATCTAATTTTTCGGAGTTGTAGGGTCTATTTTGACCTTTTTGTATGTACTTACGTCCGATAAAAGTTGTTGTATTTTGAAATTATACTCTGACGTGTCCATTATTACCGTAGCATTTCCTTTATCCGCGCGGAGAATCGTGAGCTCTGGTCTGTTGCGTAAGTTGTACAACGCTTTAAATTCGTCTTTGGGGAGGTTTAATTTCGGCGCTGAACTTCGACGTAACAAGGACGAAATGTCTTGACGTATAGCCTCTAAATCCTCTTTACCGATATTATTCTTAAACAGACAATCCTCAACACTACAGATAATTTCCCCGTACGGGATTTTTTGCGGCGTTATAGCAAAATTCAAGCCTTTCGACAATACTTTTATTGTAGGTTCGTCCAGTGTTTCTTTTGACAAATTATAGACCGTGCGTTGTTTATTGTTTGCGTCTGTGGTCAACGGTTGTTGCGTTTCCACGCGAGCCACGCGGTAGCTTTTGCCGTCGTGCAGATGGGCCGGCTCAACTGGGATGGTACCACGACCTCACAGAATACTAGCGTGAAGTAGAAGTTTCATTCTGCGTTTCGCCTGGTAAGTGCAGGTGGACGGTGGCCCAGGATAATACCAGCACCCCTGGTGACGAACAATCCCTCGTTGAGCATTGACACCATACCCAAGCTACCTTACTCTTCCTGAGCTTGGGCCTGATGTTGCAGAAGGCAACCTGAGCAGGTTGCCTTCTGCAGCAACATCAGGGGACTTCATTCAAACCACTACCATCTAGAGACGACGAAGCTGGCCTTGCTCTTTCTAACCGAGACACAGGTGTCCTCTCCGGCTGATACTTCGTATCTCTCCTACCCGGGGTACAAATTAGAACACTCCTTTGTGCCCCGGGCTAGAGTTGTATACATCACAGAGGACATCCGTTTTCGACGCCTCGGCAGTCTTGAAGGTACGGACCTGTCCATACTAATGCTTCGCGTAGACAGCGACGACCATCCCCGCGTATACCTGTACCTCTATAGATCCCATAGCGGTAATGCCGACACAGACCGATTCTTCGACTACGTCCAAATGGCTGCAGACTCCGTGCAGGGCCGCGCCGACCCCCCACAGCGCCTGTGTGCGAAACCTATGAAGCGCCTCTTTTTTTCACGAATCTTCATGCTCCAACTTGTTTTTTTTTTTTTGTTATTTGTTAATTTCGACCGAAATAAATGTTCTCCAGTTTTATATACTTAGATAATATTTTCCTTAATAGGTAAAACCAGTTCGCTTCCGCTTGCCAATTACGGCGAAAAATAAAACACGAATTTAATTTTTACATACTTTACGAGTATTTATGATGTTATGTCTAATTGTATACTTAGATATTAATAACAAAATAGCTGACTTTTCTAATAATAATGATTTAACTATTACGTATGCTATGTTTAAAAAAAACAACAAGAGTCTAAAATATGTAAGAATATAAACATACTTAAATTATATTATTTCCATTCTTCTCGCTTTTCTGTTTGCGAAATCCTTAATAATCTCGTGTATGTCTATATGGTCTAATATGGCGTCCTCTATGGATATTGTTGCTAAACTTGTTAATCTTTCCTGGCTCATTGTTGAACGCAGGTAATTTTTTATAAGTTTTAATTTATAAAAGGACCTTTCCGCACTTGCTGCGGTAACTGGCATAGTTAGCAAAATTCGTAATGCTTTGGTGAAGTTAGGGCAAACAGCTGTCAAATTGTTTAAATATATAAATTCGAGAATTTCCACCACATCATTATTTAAGCGTCTCCCACACACAAGCGGCTTGCGGTGGCGGCTAACCGCGAGCCGCGGCTCCAGCCGCTGCAACAACACACCACCGCGGTTGCAACGGCCGCCTAAAGCGTCTCCCACACAGAAGCGGCTTGCGGTGGTGGCCGCGGTGGTGGCCGCGGTGGTGGTCAGTTGTATTCGCTTGCAATGTAAGAGAGTCTGCAAGCCCGTGCGGCCATGGCGCGATCTGCAAGCGGCTGGCCGCGGCCGCATGCTCCGCCCCTTCCGCTAACGCGTGTGTGTTAGCGAGTACGCGGCCAGTCGGTGGCCACAGCGCGGTCAGTTGCAAATTTTTACAACAGGCCGCGTGTACCGCGTGAAAAATGGTGCTAAATTAAGAGATTGTAATAGAAACAGAGCAAAATTATCCAGTACTTTATGAAAATTCGCATCGTGATTACAAAAGCATTAGGATTAAAAACAAAATATATGATAATATTGCTGAATATAACAATACTTCATCATGGTTAGCCATGTTTACTGACCTCTAATCGTAGCACAGACACCACAGCGAATGGCGCTTCAGGCCGTCGTTGCGACAGTTCCCATATTACAAATTTTGTTACTTAGTCAAATTTTTTCCTTTTCTACATTAATGGCAATAAGTCACTATTTATGGAAGATACATTTATGAATTATGCCACTATAAAATCTATACGAAACCGACATTATTGTAAAATTATTGGTCACCCATACATTTATACATTTTTTTCATACCCAAGAGGTTTGAACTTCGCTTAAATAATATTTTTTGCATGTTTTTCAAAAATAAATAGATTTGCGAATTTTTAAATAAAAACTGCAAAAGCTATTTATACTATTTACTTTTTATCTATCAGCACAGTTAGTGTATAATAATAAAACAACAAAAAACCAATAGAAATCATTCGTTTTTGGTCATAGTGTTCAAGGCAGTAAAAATCGACTTTTCTTTAAAAAAATATATCAAAGATACTACTTGTGACATATTATGTTTCGTATTTTTTTTTCGGAACGGCCATAAGTTGTACTATAAGACATTTCAAGGTTATCTATTCATTACCGGACACCTTGTATAATACTTGCACAATACTAAAAAATTCAGTCATATGATGATTGAGATTGGCAGCGTCGTTTACTATTAAATTTAAGCTACGAGGGCGGCACTGAAAATTTCGGGAATCAAGGAAGTGACACAATATTACTATTTAAAAATGTATTTATTGCTTTTCGAAGTATTCTCCGCGAAATTTGACACATTTTTCCATACGATGGAACCAATCATTGAAGCAACCATTCCATTCGGAAGTTGGGGTCTCCAAAATGGCCGTTTTGTAGCCAGTGAAATTAGTGACATAGTGCAAAACTGCAAAATCAAGTGACAGTGCAAGATCCCTCCCGCCGCCTGAGTGATATTTTTAAAAAAATATCCTATTACGTGCCTCTATATAAATTCATCAAAAACATAGTTGGGAAATTATAATAAACCGAATAAAAATACTCAAGACTTGGCCTAAAGGTCTAGATACCAGGCCATAAGCTCCAAAAAAAAAAATTGATGACAGTTGAAGCTATCACAAAACTCGTTACTATAGTCACAAATTATAAAGTTGTATCACAAACTATATAGAAACACTAAGTTGTATGTGCAAGAACTATAGTGTGTGCTCGTATGTAGTCGTACTCGATAAAATAACAATAAAAAAAACAATACGCCTGTCTTATTGTTTAGAAGACTCACGTCCTGATCCAAGGAATATAGTAATTATATACTTATGGGATCCCAATACTGATCCCTGTTAATATATGAAAACGAAGCATACGTGTATATGTTGAAAGGTAGCTTCATCAAAGTGCATTTACAGAAATAATTTTATTCAATATGAAACAAAAGTCCGGTTTAACAAGATTCCTTAACTGCAATATTCTTCGTGATGGCAAAATAATTAAAGAGGATTTGTGGATACGGGACGGTAAAATAATAAACCCTGAACAAGTTTTTTACGATGAGCAACAAGAAGCAGACGTTAGTATAAATTGTAATGACTTACTTATTACTCCAGGATATATCGACTTGCAAATAAACGGTAAATATTATTTAAACATAGTATATACTAATATTAATTACATTAAAAATTGCACTTTTGTTACAAAAACTTAAGTAATTTTTTTATAAAACTAAAGTGACAAATGCACTTAGAGCCCACCTGATGGTAAGTGACTACTGTAGGCCATGGACATCTGCAGCTAAATGTAAACAAATAAGTCTAGAAGGTGTTATCACCTCTGAAGACTAAGATCGAATGCTTCACAACCTGTAATTAATCTGGCTCTGCACCCTTCCAACCGAAACAGCAGTGCCAGCACTGCTACTTCACGGCAGAAATAGCTGAGAGGGTGGTGGAAGCTACCCAGGCAGACTAGTAAATAAAAAAGGAGTCCCAACACTTAGTAATACCACCTTTTACTTTTAACATTGAAGATAATGTACCTTAGCACATATTATCTTAATGGTTTTATTTGTTCAAAATGAAGTATATTATTTTTACAAATAAATTTTAGCCAATTAATATTAAAGTATTCTAATGTATACTGATATAATTAAACAATTACTTAGTACAGAACCTTAAAGACTTTATTATTCATAGCCCTTTACAAGTCTACTGCAGAATATAGGTCTTTCCCAAGGATTGCCACTAAACTGTTCTTTCTTATGGGAAGTTTTCATGCAGGCAAGTTTTGGCAGACAGGTTAGCATTTACAATTTTTATTATTAAGTTGTTTTAGAAGAATGCTGCTTCCCATCTCTGACTAAGTCTCCTCTTTTGTTATATAATTAATGTCAAAATACATAATAATATATACCCAGAGAGGTGGACGGGAGCAGTGTCAAAGATGTAAGGTATTTAGTACTGTAACCACCAATCAGTTGCCAAACTTGTTGTTAGTGATAATCACTAACAACAAGTTTAATTAATAAAATATTCCTAAGTATCAATGCACTGTTACAGCTGGTTACGAAGTGAACATCATTGTCAACATTATAAATTATCTCTACTGGTACTTTTATGTTTTTAATTTTGTAGTACACATGATTTTATATATTTTCTTAACTTAGGTGGTTGGGGTGTTGACTTTTCATTTGATACTGAAAATGTTGAAGAAGGTGTACGTAAGGTAGCAAAAGAACTCTTAGCACATGGTGTCACATCATTCTGTCCAACAATGGTGACATCAGAGAAGGAGAAATATTCTATTATTCTTCCCCAAATAAAAAAATTACAAGGCGGGAAACATGGAGCAACTGTTCTTGGAGTCCACCTAGAAGGTCCATTCATAAGTTTAGCTAAAAAAGGTGCTCATTCACATGAGTTTATCATGAATCCAGACAAGGTAAATTGTTTTTCTCTATTACTTATTTTTACACCATAATAAAAAGGTAGAGATCACCTATTTCCCAGGGGTTATTATCAGTCATGTACTCTTAGTAGTATAATAACCCTTACTAGACAATTTTTCCTTAATGAATAATTTAAACCTTTTGATAGATAACGTCTGCATACTTTCTGGGACTTTGTTGTAATAGCGTATATATATATATATTGCCCCATGAAGGAATCTCTGACTCTTTAGAGTCGGGTAACTGATATAACTAAATTATGCTTGTTTCTTGTATTTACAGAATGTACAGCACTATTTTTAATAAAACTATTTTTGTTTTTGTGTACATACATTAAATTTTCGTAAATATATTGAGAGGCCAAAGTTAATATATTTATTTCTTTAAATTTTTTGCTAAGGGATTCCTTAGGAGCTAGGTTATAAATTGCTGTTATGGCTCTCTTTTGCAAAACAAAGGTAGTTCCAATGTCAGTCGCATTACCCTGTAGCAAAATTCCATATGACATTATGCTATGGAAATATAAAAACTAATTTAGCTGTTTCAACACATATAAGGCATCTAATATTTTGTACAGCATATGCTGCAGAACTAAGTTTCCTAGCTAGTTTGGATATATGAGGGCCCCATTGAAGCTTCCTTCTCTTACTTTGTTGTTTGCTTAATAAAGCCAAAGGCTACATTTTTTCTGTCCGTTAATCAGATTCGATAAAATTGAATGTTTGGGGATGGTGTAAGGGAATATATTCAACTTTTTCTTTAAATGTCTTTCATCAAATCAGCCTCTGGCAACTGTTTCATATTTTATTTTTCATTTTTTTATTTTATAGGATAGGGTGACAAACGAGCACACTGTCCACCTGATGGTAAGTGGTAGCTGCGGCCCATAGACATCTACATTTATCCTCAACAAAGGATCAAAATGCAGAAACGTCGTCACCCTAAGATGAAATGTCTCTTTTCAAGTAAAATGGGTCTCCGGTTCTCTACACTCACCATAGGAAACACAGCAGTGTCAAGCTACTATTTTACCCTGATATTCTGTGAGAGCGTGGTCCGTCCCCAGTCGAGCCGACCCATTCGTGCTACAACTATACTACAAATATAGCTGCAGCATGGCTCTACCACGTATAAAATTTCATGATGATAGATTGGTGATAGGGGGAAGCTTTACCTTTGTGTGAGGTTCTACACTCACCAACCTACCAGACTAGCATGGTGAATATAGGCAAGTGTTTCAAGAAAAGCCTCATTAAATGCCTTCTTAAAAAGATGTATCTCCAGCAATAGATTCAAATAACTGATAAAGAAAAACAAGAAATGTTTTTAATTAAGATAAATTCCTAATCATGATCTATTAACATCAAGACTGAAGTTAAAAAATTAACCTTACTTTAAATGCCTTAAACAATTATTATTTATAATGTCAGACATGAAAAGATGTATATAAAAAGATGTATCTCCAGCAATAGATTCAAATAACTGATAAAGAAAAACAAGAAATGTTTTTAATTAAGATAAATTCCTAATCATGATCTATTAACATCAAGACTGAAGTTAAAAAATTAACCTTACTTTAAATGCCTTAAACAATTATTATTTATAATGTCAGACATGAAATATAATACATATTTTATGGTCAGAAGATAACTAAAGGCACCATCATGAAACAAACTATCTCAGTCAGCGTATAAATTGAGACCTGAGCTTTGTTATGCAGTTGACAATTTTAAGATCTTAAGAATATAAGTAGTGCCAGGATAACAATATTCCCACTGTCCAATTGGTCCATAATTTATTGAATAGTCGGTTACTGGTGCAAACTATTATCTTCATGTGATGTAAACAATTTTCTTATAGTTTAAAAATTGATCTGATTAAACAAGCCCTTACCACAAGTGTCCAGGTCTCATTTGACAAGTCAACTGTAATCAAAATTCCAATCAATAAAGAAGGATAATCTTATTCTTAATTATTCCCTTATTATTTTGGAGAGACTTGCTCTATTTTTTAAATAAGCACTTTCATGCTATTTCGCAATGTTTACTAATAACATAATTTATAGATATCATTTTTCTTGACCCACTTTAATTATTTGCTATCAGGGTTATTAAACTTGTTATCATTGTCATGCAATGTACATATTTACATAAAGCATAAATAAGTATTCTTATACAAACAAAGTTTAAATGATGATGGGTTTCGAAGAAATATGTAAACTCTTTTCTTTCATTGTCATCATCAAACAGGCAATTGTCTTCTGCTGACACTGAAACTAGAATTTGATATAGGCTCACTTCATTACACCTAAAGTTACAATGGTTTGCCATGATAGCTACACTTGCCAGATGCTTCATGGTCACATTACCCATCCTCTCAAACCTTAGATTTCTCTAAACAGTGGGTGCCAGGCTCCGACCATGAACCTGAACCTGAAATATGAAGCGCCAGTTTATAATCCTGTTGTTCGCTTCTACCTTAGCTGCTGCGTAGATTGTGCGCCGAAGCTGTGCAAAAAGTTGTCACCAAATGTACCGTTCGCATGGAAAACCACAGTTGCATATCACTACGTATCGCTTATGTATTGAGCTATTTATTGTGACTGCGAGCAGTTCAAAGTAGTCGATGGCCTTATATGAAAATCGGTATTGATAGTGTGCTAACCTTCTAAACGGATGATCACCGGACCGGACAATCACGAGCTTAGGCGCTTAGGATCTTTTTAAAGCAAATTATGCAGGCGTATTACGAATTGCCTCATCGGTCGCAAATGCAGTAGCCAATAGTATTGACGATATTCATTAACTGTCGTTTGGATATCAGTGTATCGGAGTTTTTTTTTATGTTTATGCTGAATATAGTTTTGTTATATAATGATTTCCGTCAATAATCAGTAGGCTTTTTTGAGTGCCGAGATATATCTTGTCGCACTTATACGGATCTCCAGAGTTAATACTACATCGATTACCATACAGATTCCGTCCAGTTTCGTTGCGTGTGCACCACAGTGTGGTAGATACCACGTTGTACACATTTCTTTGCGCTGTATACAGCTATTCGAGTTTCGTATCTTAGTTATCTGATATTGAGGCTTCTTCTTTCGTTCACAGTGGTAGTGTCTCATAGGCATTGTACATACAATGTATCATACGCTATTGCATTAGGACATGGAATTGAGTATGCTTGCTGCACTTAAAATTACTACTAAACACACCCATCCTAATCCGAAATATGGCCGACGTATCATAACGCTATGCGCTAAAACGCCGTCGTTAGAGGTGTGCGATGTCCACGGGCAAGTCGTATTACTAAAACAAACCCGCTTACCACCGGCACTAAGATACATCGGTTAGTATGATATGATACTCGAAGACTCGAAGCTGCTGTATTGAGAGAAAACCTAATAACTGAATTTGGCTTGGACCGGGATTTGAACCCGGGACCATATGATCAGCAATTGCGTTTACGACTACAAGACCCAACGAGGCAGTCAATGACAATTCAAGTATTGACTTGAATTGTGCCAGTGCCAAATATAGGCAATAACTGTAGATTATCTGGTGTACAAACATTTTTAAAATAAAAGTTTTTTAAATGTTACAATAAAATTATACATTGTAATGGATGGATACCTTTTTCTATTATATATACCATCCGCCCAATCAATAAATGAATCGTTACACGATAGTATGCGACATCCACTATTTTTTTTTTTTAGTAATGCGCCAACATCCAACAACAATATCCGAGTGAAGTCTCAGATTAACTTTGACGAGTTAGTATTTATGAATCCAAATAATTTTTGTGTTTGTACAAATGTTGGCTTCGATTTTGAAACCAGGACATATCAGTTGCGTTTTTCATTAATAGAACCAAAAAGATTATGTACATTCATTAATATAGTGCCACGCATGGTAAAAGTCGACGCGGGCGCAGATCGTTATTAAAAGGCGCCCAATATTACTTTGTTTTCAGGGATTAGAATCCATTCGTGAGGTCTATGGGCCGTTGGGCAATGTAATTATTGTCACACTAGCCCCTGAATTACCGGGAGCATTAGATGCAATAAAGGGATTAACTAATCTTGGAATTAAAGTAGCGCTCGGACATTCCTCCGCTAGCTTGGCAGATGGAGAAGAGGCCGTCAAGTGTGGAGCGAACCTGATAACCCATCTATTTAACGCTATGCTTCCAGTAAGTAACTTAAGAAAACATGTTACGTCCTCTTGTTGAGCAAGTGCAAATAATTGTTAAGTCTCGTTAGCTTGAACACGAGGACGAGTGCTGTAAGGTGTTGTAGTACTTTTATAGCTAAACTGACCCGTTTGCAATGCGAAAATTGTATACCCTCCCAACTAAACACATACCCCATTGCGCCAGTAACGGAATATAATATACTAAAAGTATACTATGGTGTCACTAAAAGTTTTTAGATACTCGTACTAGTCAAAGCAGCAATGCCTAAGAAAAAATTAGTTTTTCTTTTTTTGTTGTAAAAACGTTAATGATAAAGATTGCTTTGTTATATGAAAGTTGTTTCTCATTCAATATCGGAATATCAGTAAAATATTTCTCAAAAACCATTGCAACGTCCTGATCTGATTCAGTTAATTTGTTACTAACACTTAACTGGTAGTTTGAATTGCGAGAGTTGATCTTACCAGTTTCGCTATTAATTATACTCCATGTCATTTTAATTTTATTAGAAGCCGTCTTAATTTTGTTGCTCAAATGCAAAGACTTGGCTGTGGAGCACACTCTTTTAAATATTTTTGAATATTTTTTCACATATTCCCTAAATTCGACGCTATGATTATATGAACTTTCATGGTAAAGATCATATAACCTATGTCTGCTCTTATGGACTCCTACTGTCGCCCATTCATTAAATGACTTCCGACTGTTCAAGGAGAATGTTTTAGAAGTAAAAGTATTATTAAATTCATTGCAAATAAGCTTAAATAATGTTCCATACAAAAAATTTGGATCATTTTGGTATGAAAGTGATGGAAGTTTTTTCACTATGTTACTTCTAAATTTCTCCAAGCGACGTGCATTTACGGGAACAAACACAACTTTCTCATCTACTTACTTTTTGTGAACATAAGGTAACGAAACTACCTCACACAGTGATCATAACTTAATTTTTGAATTATACATTTATGCATGATTATACAATTATACATTACGTGCTTTGCGCTCGGCATGCAATATTAACATTACGAGATTATAAGTTATAGATCGTACAATCGATAGGCTGTTGCTTGTGCGAGTTTATTAGTACGGCCACGCAGCAGCTGCACTATGGCTGCAAATGCTTCACATTTGTAAAAATGTTATCTATACATGTTGCACTAGATTGAGCAATACGCGTTGGCTCTAAAAATAAATTAAAAAGACCATATGATTTAAATTTAATATTGATTGAGGAAGCTTCTAGGAGATTGATATTAAAGTCTCCACATATTACAACAGATTTATTCTGTTTATTAAGCTTAGCAAAAACTTCCTCGACACCTTTTAATATTAACTTTCGCGCTATATATTTTCTTCACCATTCGGTCTTCACTCATTCGCTCAACGTGCCCAAATCACCGAAGCACGCCCTTATCAATTTTTGTGATAAGGTCATCTTTCAAACCTGCCATATTGCCAATCTCTTCGTTTCGCTTTCGGTCGGCCATAGTAACGCCGCACATTTTACGAAGAGATCGCATCTCCACTGCATTCAACTTACTTTTATGCTTCTTCTGGCATACCCAGGTTTCGCTGCCAAATAACAAAGTCGGTACCAACACTGCGTTATGTATTGCAAGGCGTGCACTCTTCGCTACGCCTTGCCTTTTGACTAACGCAGTCAGGGCACCATTGACTTTGTTCCCGGCAGCAACACGTCTGTCCACATCTAAATCACATCTTCCATCCCGGCTAAAAGCACTCCCCAAGTATACTAACTTTCGAAGACCATGTGAGCAAATTGCTCGAAGAGGGTAGGGTCAAGAGTACTCGGATACCTAGACGTGCATGCATGAAGAAGATAATGAATCTGAAAGAAGCGAAAGAGGTTTGTAAGGATCGTGACACTTGGCGATCTGTTCTCTCTGGCTACCCCGTCAGGGATTGTGCGTGAAGATAAGTAAGTAAGTAAAAACTTCCTCCATAATTTTTTCAAAAGTATCGTATATAGAACATGGGGGTCTGTAGACGCTCACAACAATGAGGTGCTCAAACTCAACACATGCCATTTCTACAGCTCGCTCAATAGAGAGACTCACAATATCTTTACGTTCTTTACATGACAATAATTTACTAGCTAATATTAAGGAGCCACCTCTTACAACCGTTTCTCTATTGAAAGAACTGACCACCTGGTGATTACTGAAGTTAAACATTAAGTTGCAAGCTTTTAACCAATGTTCAGTAATACATAAAATATGAATATTGTTGCTATTTAAGAACAACTCAATTTCTAGCTCTTTGCCTATCATGCCTTGTATATTTTGATGCACCAGGTGTAAACAATTTTCATTATCACTTTGTGGAGTCATACAATTAAAGATTTGTAAGCTACATTCTAAATTATTTAACCGGTTCAAAAATGCAGATTCGTCGTCACCCGTGAGGACTAAGATGGAATGCTTTTTTTCCAGTAAAATGGGTCTCCGGTTCTCTACACTCACCATACGAAACACAGCAGTGTCAAGCTGCCATTTTACGCTGGTATTCTGTGAGAGCGTGGTCCTTCCCGGTCGAGCCGACCCATTCGTGCTAATACTATACTACTATTATAGCTGCAGCATGGCTCTACCACGTATAAAAAACATATTAATGACGGAAAATACTAGAAAAAATTTGAGGCGGTAGTAGAATATACATATGCGCTTTGCGCTCGGCATGCAATATTAACATTACGAGATTATAAGTTATAAATCGTACAACCGATAGGCTATTGCTTGTGCGAGTTTATTAGTACGGCCACGCAGCAGCTGCACTATGGCTGCAAGTGTCGGCTCAATCGACGAAGAGCAACACTCAATACCGGCGTAAAATATCACTTTAACAGAATAGGAGATTTTTACTAGTTATTCTCAATTTTCACTCTTACAAGTATATAAGGGTGAAAGTACAGTAGTACTACTTAAGTTTTATCGTATGAACACTATTTGCTTAGTAAAAGTGTACATGAAGGTTAATTATTGGCCTCACGCAAGCAAAAGTCGTATGACCCTCTCTACGCCTTATTCAACCTCGTGTTATTTTCATGTTTGCTAACTGCGCATCATGTGAACTTGTCCGTGACTGTCTACTAGCCCTACCAAAGGCAGATGAGAAATGATCGACAACGTTCAAATACTGGCGGAAGTATAAATAATTTTGCTTGCATAAACTACTATCTTCTATCACAGGCATTACTGCAGACTAGAATATTATTATCATTTATATGTCACTTGTGTTGGCTAGGACAGGTGTAGAGATAATGAGTTATCGACCATTCAGCCCTGGTCTAGCATCTTACGATTCTGTTTTTGTAAAAACTTTCAGTGACACTACATAGATGACGATATTAACCACTTTAGTGAAATCTCATCAAAACGCTCAGTCTCGACACAAGTTATTCTACGAAGTAGAAGAGAATGCATCTTAATTCCACGCAGGCATGAAAAACGTAATATAAATTAGGAAAATAAAAACAAATCATTTTATTGAATAGTGTTACTTCTAGTTCCACCATCGTGATCCCGGCCTTGTGGGACTCTTGGCCTCTACGACCGATAAACAAGTGTTCTATGGTATTATTTCTGACGGCATCCATACTCATCCAGCGGCACTACGAATAGCGTGCAGAACAAATTCAGAAGGTACTAGATTTTTTTGAAAATTTTGAAACCTACTTAATATAATTATTTCTTATATGCTTTTATGCATATTATGTAGGTATATGTTAATCTCAAATCTCAACCCGCCTGGTCTCAGTCTAATCAAAAAACAAAATTCCTTAGCACTTTTATAATAAATCTGTGTCTCGACTTTTTAACCGCTTCAGTGCGGGTGACACGCCAGGCATGCCATCGATTACTTTTGTGTGTCGTATGACACGCGAGTCGTGTCTTTTTTAAAATCGTTATAACTCGCTCAAATTCCTTGTTTGGAAAATTTATCCAGAACAAAATATTCATTATTTTGCGAGTAGTTCATCCATGCAGCTTCGTTTCTTGATATTTTGAAAATTTTAAATTTTTAGGGGTTGACAACCTTTTTTTAACGTGTACATGGTACTATTTTTACTTTGTGGGTTTTAAATCATGTTATGGAAAAATTGTCTAATAAGTAACAAATAATAGCACTCATTGCGATCGCTCACAAACTCAAGTTGTAAATAAATTTCTGGAAATCAAGTCTCCTGTTAAAAAAAACAATGCGTTTGTCTTATTGTTTAATTTTGCTTAAAATGGTTGAACTGCCGTCTTATTACTATCATATGGCCGCAACGAATCTGTTAAATATACACGGAAAATTATTGAGTTGTGGTTCATAAAAGAATTGATTACGGTGCAATGTTTGATAAATTAAACGATTATATAGCCATGATAACGCTATGTTAATTTGATGGTCGGTCAATACGAGGGTAGGTCAATAAGTTCGCAGAGCGAGGGGTTAGCGGGAGGTGGGATTAATAAGTTCACTTTTTTATACCTACACAGTACAAAACAAAGTCAAAACTACTATTCATTGAACTATGGTTAAGTAAATCATGAAAATAATTTTTAAAATAAACAAACTTGACTTTAGTATCGTTATTAAATTAAGCGGCTTACTAAGCACCAAAGCACTTTTTAAAAGTTCTTGACTAGCTACGCTATTGCTTCAACAAGTACATACTTCGAGAAACCTTGTGAGAAGGAGCGGCAAGAACCTCATAAGTACAATATTTTTCCTCTCATAAGTTACAAAGGGATTTTTGAAAAAAAAAACATCAATTTTTTTATGTAATTTTAAAACATAAATAATTATGATAGCCGATGCGAAGAACTTAAATTTTTTTTTTCAATTTGTTAAACATAACACACAAACTTTTTAATTACGGCGAAAAAAAAAGAAATACTTTTGTTTTATAAAACTTTAGACTAAATAACTATTAACACTAATTTGGGTTTTTGAAAATAAAAATTCTTAACAGAAAATTTTTCTCTTCGTAGAAACTTTTCCTGTTCATAGAAAAGCCCAATTTAACCTAAAAATTCTAAAGAAGCTTATTATGCTCACGCATTCTTATTTTATGAATCATTAGTCAATTAAAAATATTCTTTCTTCATAAGAAAGTAAAAAGTCACAAACATGTGTTTTGCATTTATTTATTGCAAAGAGAAATCAGTAAATTACAGGTACTGGCCAAGTGCGAGTATATATATATACTCGCACTTGGCTGGTTTTTTATTTAAATTTTGACTGCAAGTTTATTTGCCACGCTACTGTCATAAAATTAATTAGAACCTTCATATTGATCCCTGCAGGTTTAGTTTTAGTTAGCGACGCAGTTCCAGCGCAAGGGTTACCCGATGGCACTTACACCATCGGCCCACAAGCTGTCAGCGTCGATAAAGGACGAGCGTACATCGCCGGTACTAAGGTCCTCTGCGGAAGTACCAGCGCTTTAGACGAGTGTATTATTAAGTTTAAGGAAGCTACTGGTACGTGAAAATTTACATTAAATATTATTTTTATTTTATTGCCGTGTAGTGGCGGTCAAGAATATCCACTACCCCATATCCTCCCGTGGGTGTCGTAAAAGGCGACAAAGGGAAACAGGCAGGAGATGGGCAGCAGCATCTTCCTGATAATAGCCAAAATTACAATAAAAAAACTGCGGTTGCCAACCCGCTTGCCAAGCGTGGCAACTATGGCAAATACCCCCCAATGAATAAAGCAACAAACAGACGGCCCCCAGTCCCCGGCGGCCCCGCTATTCCTGGCTACGGTGGCAACCATGGTAACGGCGGGGCAGGGGGTGCTAAGAATCTCCGGTGGAGGTTCGGTTGCCACCTTAGACGACTCGACCTGGCAACGTACAACGCACGCACCCTGAGGACTGATGAGAAGATTGTGGAGCTGGAAGAAGAGATACAAGTTGCGCTGGCATATTATAGGATTATCCGAAGTTCGAAGAGAGGGGGAGGACACGGTAATCCTCGAATCCGGCAACTTGCTCTATCACCGGGAGGGCGACCATCTGTCCCAAGGAGGTGTCGGATTTATCGTCCACAAATCTCTCGTTAACAACGTTGTAAAGATCGGGAGTGTCTCGACGAGGGTTGCGTACCTTATACTCAGAATCGCCAAACGGTATTCACTGAAGGTCATACAGGTTTACGCACCAACCTCGGCACACCCCGATCAGGAGGTGGAGGAAATGTATGAGGATATCTCTAGAGCCATGCATTCCTCCAAAACCAAATATACGGTGTTAATGGGAGACTTCAATGCAAAACTAGGCACAAGAGAGAACGGCGAGCTGAAAGTAGGGAAATTTGGAATAGGACAACGGAACCCAAGGGGCCAGCAGCTGGCCGAATTCATGGAGAAAGAGGGACTCTTTATGATGAACTCTTTCTTCCAGAAGCGGCCCCACAGGAAGTGGACCTGGTCAAGCCCCGACGGTTCGACAAAAAATGAGATCGACTTCATTATGACGACTAGACGACAACTGTTCAGTGATGTCTCCGTGATCGCGAGGGTGAAAACTGGTCGCGATCACCGAATGGTTAGAGGCACACTGAACCTAAACGTTAAGTTGGAGAGGTCTCGTCTAATGAAGTCAACGCTCCGTCCCCCTCGTGCTCTGTTCCAAAGTCCCGAAACCTTTCAGCTCGAGTTACAAAACCGTTTTCAGTGCCTAGAAGACTGCAATGAAGTGGACGATATGAATGACAAGCTCGTGGAAACTGTCCATGCGGTCGGAGCTAAGTTCTGCAAGACCCGCCGCAGAAGAACACAAAAAACTCTCCGATCACAATCTTAATCTCATGGCTGTTAGACGGGAGATGAAGCTACATTCTTCAACAGACTTGACAGCATACAGGCATCTGAACAGACAGATCTCCAAATGCATGCGGCGGGACTTACGCAACTTCAATACAGCTCGTATTGAAGAAGCGATCGAGCGGAACCAAGGCTCCAAAGTCTTTGCCAGAGATCTGTCTGCCAGAAAGAGCCAACTGTCAAAGCTGAAGACAGAATGTGGCAGCATCGTTTTCGGGACACCTGAGATTTTGAGTGAGATTGAGAGGTTCTATGGGCAGCTGTACACATCATCGTTGGAGCCACACGCAAGTGTGAGTAACGATCCAAGAGCGAGTCTCATCCGACACTATTCCGAAGATATCCCGGACGTCAGTCTGAGCGAGATTAGAATGGCTCTCCAGCACCTTAAAAACGGTAAAGCCCCAGGCGAGGATGGAATTACAGCGGAGCTTCTGAAAGCGGGTGGAAGACCGGTACTTGAAGTCCTTCAGAAGCTCTTTAATTCCGTCCTCCATGGTGGCATTACACCGGAGGCGTGGAGCAGAAGTGCGGTGGTCTTGTTCTTCAAGAAAGGTGACAACGCTCTCTTGAAGAACTACAGACCGATTTCCCTCCTGAGCCGCGTCTACGTGCTGTTTTCGAGAGTCATTACGAATCGTCTCGCGCGCAGACTTGATGACTTCCAGCCTCCCGAACAAGCCGGTTTCCGAAAGGGCTTTAGCACCATAGACCACATACATACCCTTCGGCAAATTGTACAGAAGTCCGAAGAGTACAATTTGCCACTATGTCTGGCGTATGTGGACTATGAAAAAGCCTTTGATTCCGTCGAAATTTGGGCGGTGCTGCAGTCCCTTCAGCGGTGCCAAGTTGACTGTCGATATATCGAAGTGTTGAAGTGCTTGTACAGTAGGGCTACGATGGCTATCCGAGTACAAAACCAGAGTACGAAACCTATCCAATTGCAGAGAGGTGTAAGACAGGGTGACGTCATATCCCCGAAACTCTTCACCGCTGCATTGGAAGACGTTTTCAAGCTTCTGGACTGGAAAGGATACGGTATCAACATCAATGGCGAGTATATCACTCACCTTCGATTTGCCGACGATATAGTCCTTATGGCAGAATCGCTGGAGGACCTAAGCACTATGCTCAATGACCTCAATAGTGTTTCCCAACGGATAGGTCTTAAGATGAACATGGACAAAACAAAGATCATGTTTAATGTCCATGTCACACCTATGCCGGTAGTTGTTGGGAGCACTAAGCTCGAAGTTGTTGACGAGTATGTTTATCTGGGACAAATAGTCCGACTAGGTAAGTCCAACTTCGACCGAGAGGTCAATCGACGGATTCAACTCGGCTGGGCAGCGTTCGGGAAGCTACGACACATCTTCTCGTCAGACATACCTCAAAACCTTAAAACGAAATTGTACAACCAGTGCGTGTTGCCAGTGATGACTTACGGAACTGAGACGTGGTCCTTCACTGCTGGCCGTATGAGGAAGCTCAAGGTCGCTCAGCGAGCTATGGAGAGGGCTATGCTCGGAGTTTCTCTGCGTGATAAACTTAGGAATGAGGATATCCGCAGTAGAACCAGAGTAACCGACATAGCCCAACGGATTAGTAAGCTGAAGTGGCAGTGGGCCGGCCATATAGCTCGAAGAACCGACAACCGATGGGGAAGAAAGGTTCTCGAGTGGCAGCCTCGTACCGGTAGGCGAAGTGTAGGGCGTCCCCCCACGAGATGGAGTGACGACCTGGTAAGACATGCAGGAAGTCGATGGATGCAGAAGGCTCAGGACCGTGCTTTGTGGCATTCTTTGGGGGAGGCCTATGTTCAGCAGTGGACTTGTGAAGGGCTGTAATGAATGAATGAATTATTTTATTCACTCTGAACATAAAATAGAAAATACACCAATTTTGTTTAGGCACTATACAAAATCAATAAAACCCAATTTAATTTCAATCCTGTATGCTTACGGCATCATAGTTTCGTGCCGAGACGGTGTTAGAAATCACACGGGACAAATTCTAATTAGCTTTCTTTGAAAGTAGGGTAGGTATATCAAAAAAAGCATTTGACAAAGTAGACCGTTTTTTCCACGAGGATTTTGGGACTTTTATCGACTAAAATCGGTGTTCCACCACCATATCAGCAGGGCAACTGGAATGCTTTCGGTCACATATTATCACGATTTAAACCACTATAATCTAAACTAGAAGGTATTTCGCAATTTCCCTAACGTGGCCAAGTCAAGTTAAATTTTGTCGAGCACAGTGGCACATTTCCTACTTTAGACCTTTATCTTATAAAACGTTAAGACCTGTCCTGTGTGTGTGATACATAATAAATTAATATTAATCGTGGTAACTAACGTACAGAGTATTCCCCTTACATTTCATAGTATGCTAGTAACCCAGAGTTCCATCGTAGTTCAATTCGGTAGTAACGGAAAACATCGTGAAGAAACCTGCATGTCTGAGAAATAATAATTTAAAATTAAAAAAAATTGTATAACCGACCTCAATATAAATTATTAAGGTTAACTCAAAAATTACTGGTCAAGGCCTTGATCAAATTTATATGTGACCACATGATACCCTATCCTATAAAAAAAATCTTAACTGGAATTCATCTTGTTCAATCGCGTTCATCTGCTATTGTCGCCATTGGTTGACGACTACAGTTACCTATGTCGAAGTGTAGCTCGTCCATACACGCTATTCGGTTAACATAAAGCTTCTTGGTTATACTTGGAAGAAGATTTACATAGAAGTACAACATAAGAGATTTATAGGGCTAACATCCGAAGCTAATTAACCAATGTTACTGTAACTGTTATTGTATCACTGCCGCAACATGAATTAATTGGATCGCCCCCTGAAGAAGCACGGCCTCACGTAATACCAACGTAAACAGTTGCTGTGTCTCATAAGGTGTGTGTAGAAAACCGGAGACCTTTTTTACTGATAACGAGGCACTCCGTATCCATCTTAGTCGTCAGGGATGACAACGCATCTACATTCCGATTCTAGATCGATGATAGATGCAGGTGTTTTGAGCAAAGCATCCACTTACGCTTACCATCAGGTGAACTTTATGGTCGTTTGTCTCCCTTATCCCTATAGAAAAAAAGTATCTTATTTCCCAGTCGACTTATAAATATGTAGGAAGTATATAGGGTATAGTACAGAGACTGATTTTGTAGTTAGTAATAATAATTAATTCGTTTACACGAATTAATTATCCAACGAGTCGAGGATAGACTAGTAACGGAATACGACAAGCGCACCGTTCCACGTCAGAGCCAAGACTGTCTTAATGGCGGCCGCTCCGTCCGTTTTTAACAAGCAGGACGGGTGGCAACGCAGATGCAATGCTGCAGGTGTGCGGTACACGTGTCGTTTACGAGAATTCTGTCTAACTAGACCGACGCCACTGCACCTACAACGGTGCAGGTGCCGTCAAATATATAAAATCATTTATTGCATATTTTTCAGATTGTTCTCTCGAATACGCGCTGGAGGCAGCGTCTTTACATCCAGCTAAAGCTCTCGGCATAGACAATTGTAAAGGCAGATTAAATTATCAGTGTGATGCAGATTTTGTTATATTGGACCCTAAAACTTTAAATGTTTTGTCAACTTGGATAGCAGGTGAATGTGTTTATACTGCGCCCAAATAAATTAAATAATTGTGTATTTTATTTACTTACATACTTTTATATCATAATATATTGTGACACGAAGTGTTAAGCCTTTTTTAATTTATTTATAAGATTATGTATGTTTACAAAATGTGTAAACTAGTGATTCTATGTGATTACCTGCTTAATGTCCTGTAAGTTATATAAAATTGATAAGGTGTTGTTGATGAGGTGGTGCCTAAAATATTTTATGTACCTTTTGTTACATAGATAAAATATTTTAATATTATATTTTTGTAAGGATATGTCGTTATGTGTTTAATGTAGCACAAATAAACCAATTTATTTTGATAAACCTATCAAAATAAATTGGTTAAAAGACCTGTATTATAAATTAGCTAGAAAATGTAATTCAACGTTACTTTATGTAACATTCAAATACATCACTTTAAGTAACTTTACCAAGTTTCAAGTATAAAAAATTCGAAAATTGGTTTCTCACTATGGAATGCAATTATCAGATAGCACCGCCGTTCGATAGTTGCATTCTCCCATTCAATTTTCTTTACTATTAACTATATTTAATCAAAATAAATGTTGATGCAATATATTCTTTGCGAAATAACCAATAGTATTTAGAGCGATGGCACACAATGCGTCGACGGTGCATTGAGACGCTTGAGCGGTGTCAGTGCGTGTTTCTATGGATAAAACTTCGGGATTGTTATTCAAAATATGAAAGAAGTACTACCATGATTAAAATGGAAAAGAAAATTTTTTTTGGGGCATGTAATGACAGTTGTAAGTAGTGTTGCCAGGTCCAGTCATTGCCTGATTTACAGTTCCGACAGCCCTAGGCTAACTATGAATATATAGCCCCCCCCCCCCCCTTCTCTTCACCTACCTGCCTGTTCTGTCTGTGCCTGCCCAGCCCACGAATATATTTACTAGAATTTTATGTTTTACTTCGTAATACTATTATCCATTCTGTTGTTTTACTAGCTTTCCACTCCGCGATGTCACCCACATTAAAACAAATTTTCCTGATAGTAAGTGTGGACCATCGTCTATGAACAACTGCGGCTCTTGCAGTTGCTGATCAACTGCAAGAGCCGACCAGAAAAAATTCGATCGTCGACGATTCGAGCCACTCTTCGCTGGCTGTTGTCAAACGGAAGGAGCTGGCACTCCACTGAGGTGTTTACAAAGAGCAAGTTCACCCCACATAGAGAAGTTGCAAGCGGTGTGCTGGCAAGAAATACTGTCCTGCTCTGCTGAGCACGCCAAGCATTTTAGATGCCAATTTAGCCTTCCCTTGCAAGTGACCGCGGAAATGTACGTTTTTTTTTATTCTATTATAATTTAAAGGACATTTACCGCTTAGCGTATGTCAGAAACAGAAACAGAAACTTTTTTATTCAATATAGATTATAAATAATACTTATTGAAAGTCACTCTTTTGTTTGGTTACCACTGGTTCGGAATAAACCTCTGTCCTGGGAAGAACCAGCAAGAAACCCAGCGGGACTTTTTTTTAAATAACAGCTTACAATCATGATGTTACACAAATTAACAACACAACAAATTAGAAATAGCTTGGTAGCGATCACCTCATTTCCAGGGATTATTATCATCCATAAATTCCTTAATATTATAATAACCCTTTTTATACAAACTTAGTTTAATAAAGTTTTTGAACTTTGAACAGGTCAAACTTTGTATATTTTCTGGAATTTTGTTGTAAAAGCGTATACATCGCCCCAAGAATGAATTACTGACTCGATGGAGTCGAGTAACTGGTACTACTAGCTTGTGTCTGTTCCTAGTATTTACAGAATGAATATCACTTATTTTTGTAAAACTACTTTTATTTTTGTGTACGTACATTACATTTTCATAAATGTATTGAGAGGCCAAAGTTAATATATTAATTTCCTTAAATTTTTGTCGCAGCGACTCTTTAGGCTTTAAATCATAAATTGCTCTTATGGCCCTCTTCTGCAAAACAAATATAATTTCAGTGTCAGCTGCGTGTCCCCATAGCAAAATACCATACGACATTATGCTATGGAAGTAGCTGAAGTAAACTAGTCTAGCTGTTTCAACACTGGTTAGACTTCTAATCTTTTTTACAGCATATGCTGCAGAACAAGTCTGCTTGCTAGTTTTGACATATGGGGGCTCCATTGAAGATTCGCGTCTAGTGTCATTCCAAGAAAAATGGTGGTATCTACAAGACTCAGTTTCTCCCCATTTAAAATTACATTAGTATTTAATTGTTTGACATTTGGAGTCATAAATTTCATACATTTCGTTTTAGTGCCATTTAAATGCAAATTATTAACATTGAACCAATTTACTAATTTAGATATAGCATTATTTACTTCGTCATATTTTAGCAATTCTCGACTTAATTTGAAAATTAAAGAAGTGTCATCTACAAATAATACTATATCATGGTTATCTCCTACTATGTAAGGTAAGTCATTAATGTATACAAGAAACAGAAAGGGGCCGAGAATTGAGCCTTGAGGCACGCCCATTTGTACCATCTACCCGGAAGAACTCATATTGTTAATGACAACTTTTTGCGTTCTCTTACTTAAATATGAAATAATTAATTTAAGAGCATCACTTCTTACACCGTAGTGTTGAAGTTTCCTGATTAATGTTTCATGGTGAACACAATCGAAGGCCTTGGATAGGTCACAAAATATACCCAAAGCATCCTGTGAATTCTCCCATGCATTAAAGATATATTTAATCAGCTCAACACCGGCATCAGTTGTCGAGCGACCCCTTGTGAAACCAAATTGATTTTTATGAAGTAAATTATTTTACTTATCGATACTCCACCACAAATAATATGTTGCTGTGTAAGTGTAATGCCTCATCCACACGCTTGGCAAACAACGGCGAACAGCAATCATCAAACGGCAATCACGAACGTGTGGATGGTTGTTCGCCTGTTTGTTTGTTTGTTTGTATGTGATTGCCGGTGATCGGCGTTGGTGTCGGTTTTTATGCACCGATCAAAGGGTGTTCGACAAACGTGTTTGCGATGTATCCACACGTTTGGCGATCAGTCAGTAGTACGCGCGAGCTTGCGGCTTGCGGGCGGCGGAAGGAGTTACTAGTGGCTATTATTATTACATTCTACGCTAATGTTACCAATCCGAAATTTGTCGCGGAGGTAAATATGATTTCAGAAGTTGAGTTTCCTAACGATTCTACTTCGAAAAGTTAGTAGATCTACCACCTATATTTTTTAAGTTTTCTAGAGACCTATTAGATTTATTTTATTAGACTATTGGGTAACAAATATTTCACCTCTTTTTATAAGGAGCCCCGTGTGAAAGCAGGATCATTGATCATTAATTCCCAAAATAAAATCCGAAAAAATTATATAAGATTAGTACATGCTATGTATCGATAAGTTTAGTATCATCATCATCACCATCATTACAGCCCTTCACAAGTCCACTGCTGAACATAGGCCTCCCCCAAAGAATGCCACAAAGCACGGTCCTGAGCCACCTGCATCCATCGACTTCCTGCATGTCTTACCAGGTCGTCACTCCATCTCGTGGGGGGACGCCCTACACTTCGCCTACCGGTACGAGGTTGCCACTCGAGAACCTTTCTTCCCCATCGGTTGTCGGTTCTTCGAGCTATATGGCCGGCCCACTGCCACTTCAGCTTACTAATTCGTTGGGCTATGTCGGTTATTCTGGTTCTACTGCGGATATCCTCATTCCTAAGTTTATCACGCAGAGAAACTCCGAGCATAGCCCTCTCCATAGCCCGCTGAGCGACCTTGAGCTTCCTCATACGGCCAGCAGTGAAGGACCACGTCTCAGTTCCGTAAGTCATCACTGGCAACACGCACTGGTTGTACAATTTCGTTTTAAGGTTTTGAGGTATGTCTGACGAGAAGATGTGTCGTAGCTTCCCGAACGCTGCCCAGCCGAGTTGAATCCGTCGATTGACCTCTCGGTCGAAGTTGGACTTACCTAGTCGGACTATTTGTCCCAGGTAAACATACTCGTCAACAACTTCGAGCTTAGTGCTCCCAACAACTACCGGCATAGGTGTGACATGGACATTAAACATAATCTTTGTTTTGTCCATGTTCATCTTAAGACCTATCCGTTGGGAAACACTATTGAGGTCATTGAGCATAGTGCTCAGGCCCTCCAGCGATTCTGCCATAAGGACTATATCGTCGGCAAATCGAAGGTGAGTGATGTACTCGCCATTGATGTTGATACCGTATCCTTTCCAGTCCAGAAGCTTGAAAACGTCTTCCAATGCAGCGGTGAAGAGTTTCGGGGATATGACGTCACCCTGTCTTACACCTCTCTGCAATTGGATAGGTTTCGTACTCTGGTTCTGTACTCGGATAGCCATCGTAGCCCTACTGTACAAGCACTTCAACACTTCGATATACCGACAGTCAATTTGGCACCGCTGAAGGGACTGCAGCACCGCCCAAATTTCGACGGAATCAAAGGCTTTCTCATAGTCCACATACGCCAGACATAGTGGCAAATTGTACTCTTCGGACTTCTGTACAACTTGCCGAAGGGTATGTATGTGGTCTATGGTGCTAAAGCCCTTTCGGAAACCGGCTTGTTCGGGAGGCTGGAAGTCGTCAAGTCTGCGCGCGAGACGATTCGTAATGACTCTCGAAAACAGCACGTAGACGCGGCTCAGAAGGGAAATCGGTCTGTAGTTCTTCAAGAGAGCGTTGTCACCTTTCTTGAAGAACAAGACCACCGCACTTCTGCTCCACGCCTCCGGTGTAATGCCACCATGGAGGACGGAATTAAAGAGCTTCTGAAGGACTTCAAGTACCGGTCTTCCACCCGCTTTCAGAAGCTCCGCTGTAATTCCATCCTCGCCTGGGGCCTTACCGTTTTTAAGGTGCTGGAGAGCCATTCTAATCTCGCTCAGACTGACGTCCGGGATATCTTCGGAATAGTGTCGGATGAGACTCGCTCTTGGATCGTTACTCACACTTGCGTGTGGCTCCAACG